TCACATCCCACTTGAGGCATGAATATCTGTGTTTGTGTTGTTCTGTGTGTAGATAGAGGCCTTGCGTCGGGCTGATCTCCCGTCCAAGGAGTCCTACCGAACATGTATAGGATAGAGAAACTGAAAAAGCTGTCGAGGTCCAACAAAGGGCTGTAGAGTCATAGATAAATAGAATAAATATAATCATACAAAGCGAAAACCTATCCATGTAACAAGCCATGGAGGTCCATAGGGTAGTGGGACGTCGAGGCTCCCACATATTTCTAGACTGTCGGCTCACAGATGGCGGTAAGGTTGTCAGCCTTACGCGCCGGCCGCCCTTTACCCTCAAAAAGACTCCTGATATTCCTGCTAGAAACTGAGTCGACCCCAGGTCCATAGTGCGGCTGGAAGGATTGGGTCAAATGAAAAATGCAATGATTTCATCGGGAATCGAACACGCACCTATCCGGTTTGTAGCATAATGCCTCAACCAACTACGCTACCGCGTGCTCTAAGTACCCTAAATCATAATACAAAGTTTATAATAATCATGAACTTGAAGGGACTGGGAGGATACCGTCGCCATTTTGTTCAGTGCACTCTTATAGGGTCTGTCGCATATCGACTGATCCCTTTAAGCCAGTCGAAACTCCGACGCGAGCTTCACCGATGTGTAAGTAAGGAACATGACTGCGTGAAGCTATCTTCTCGTTAGGTTCATTGGAGAGACTGATGTCCAGTTATCCGCTCCCACTTTATACGAAACGATTCTTATATTAACAAGTGTCCAGCCAGCCGCAAGGACATGTCTCGAGTTCAGAACGACCAGAAAACATGTCAGTGCCATGTTGTGGTGGGTCTGTAGAAGCTACAAGCCTGACAGTTTCGCTGAGTCAAGGGTTTCATGCCGTGACAGCAATACTGGCATAAGTCGCTATATCTTGTCGCTTTTGTTTCTAGTCTTTTGAGTTGGGTAGACTAATCTGTTGTCAATGCTGTGGACGTATTGCCTTCGATGCCCGCTGGTAGCACAGAGAATGATTATCGGTTTCGTATGTTTTGCAATATACTACGTGCCAGTGATCTGGAAACGGGCAACTTGGCACCGAGTTAAATGAAGTCACTTTGATGCAGCTACATATCTGCGAGAGTTGGGTTCGACGCACTTAAGCACTCCACAATTTCGATGCCTGCATTTGCAGTTATTCACCTGAGCTTAATTTTAATTGGCTCACAAGCTGTGTAACAATGTTCGATAGAGTTCACTTTGATGATATACTGTTTATGTTAAAATGTGAAACCACCATGGAAGTGTATCTAATTTATTTTATTATATCGATTAATACTACTAAAACTTCGATATATTTTGGTCATAAATGATCAGATATCAAAGGAATGTCAAGTAAAAGTAAAGCTATCCTTGTAACAGGCCGTGGATGCCCATAGGGTTGTGAGACGTCGAGGTTCCCACATTTTTTAGAGAGTCGGCGGTGAGGTTGTCAGCTTTAAGCGTCGGTCGCTCTTTACACCCAAGAAGATTCCTAATCATTTGAAAACTTCAATGGCCTCATCGGGAATCGGCTTGTAGCGTAGTACTCGACCAACTACACTACCGAATGCCCCTTCATAATATAGTACCAGACCAAATTTTCAAGAAAGTTGCATTTAACAGCGGTTTACATTGGTGAACTTTAAAATAATACTTGTTTGAATTTGTTGAAAAAATTAAAGAATTCGATATTAAAATAAGTTATTCATGTATAAAATTATTAATTTATCTTTCATATCTGGTGTCCCGCTGAAGTTGATAGTTTATGGCTGAGATATGTCGGGATTTTTATAATATTTAATAAGTATAAAAGATATGTCATTTACAGTAAGATTATGGATTCACTCCTTCTTTCTTGTAACAATGTTTTATATGGCATCGGGTTGCCAGACATTATTGTGAAAGATGACTTGCATGGATACGGAGAGATACGTTTGTGTCCTGTTTTAATGTGTCCATAATAACAGCGTTTTCTCGGAAGGACTGAAAAAACAAGATCCGTAACACAGACTTCTTGTAACGGCATGTATGAATTCATTGCATAAATGGCTTGACGACGATGGATACCTCACACTAATATTTTCGTCCGCTGGAACATGGGTTCGAATCCCGCCTATGTACTGGGTGCTTGTCCATGCTTCCCCCCCCCCATCCTATATTTTTCTCCGTATATAGAAGCCTTACTAACGGCCGATCCCCCTATAAAGTAAAAAAAATTTAAAGCTATCCCTGTAACAGGCCGTGAAGGCCCATAGGGTTGTGAGACGTTGAGGGTCCCACATTATCTAGACAATCGGCTCAAAGATGGCGGTAAGGTTGTCAGTCCTACGCGCCGGCCGCGCTTCACTCCACAGGAAAATTATTTCATTTATTCCTGGTACTCATTTCTGTTAGAGGCTGAGTCGATCCCAGGGTCTAGTGCGGCTGGAAGGATTAGGTCAATTGAAAAATATAATGAATTCATCGGGACTTGAACTCGCGACCTTCCGGCGTGTAGCATAGCCACTCAACCAACTACGCTACCGCGTGCCCCATAACGACCGATATCCCTTCCAGGGAAATCTTACGAAATGTCTAAGAGATTCATTCTTCAAGAAATTACTTTTGGATTGAAACAAGGCAGAAAAACCTATACTATGAGAATGAAGCAGAGGATAAATATGACTAAACCTGTCATTTCATATAGATTAAGAGGCGTCATGTTGTGTTTATGTATTGGGAAACAGAGTGGTGATGAAATCCATTTGCTTTCCCAGGAATCGCCAACTCGTAATGGAGGGAACCACAATTGGGTCAGGTATTTGAAACAAACGGCTCCGGCGAATCAGTACGTGGCTTACAAAACTATAATTGGTTTATAGGCTGTGTTGATATGGATCAGGATAGGATCCGATGACAGTGGTTGTCTGGATCTGCAAATCCGCCGACTGAATTAATAGCAAATTAAACTTGATGGCATAACACGAATATGAAACCTAAAAATAAGCACTTGACTCCAATTACACGCAATAATTATACCTCATCGATAGATATTTATGCCCTGATAAGCTCATTAAGCACGCTGATCAGAACAGGAACTGCGCAGATCAATGAACTTCCGCTCTTCCCCCTTTCCGGCCGACTAATCCAATCTCCGGTATAGGTTCCAGTGTTTCTGAACTGGCAATGATACGTTTCTTAGATCGAGTAACTTCGTGATTTGTACAAATCAGTTACTGTTCCTACAATGCTGAATCTAGAAGGCTGTGGAAATGCGGGATGCGCACAGAATTTTGGTGGGAAACGGCCACTTTGAGGACCTTGCAAAGTAATATTAAGATGGATGTTCTGGAAATAGACTGTGAGGACTGGGGTGTGATGCATCTGGTCTAGATTTTTGTCCACTGGCAAATTTTGATATTAGTAATTTTCAATTTTCGAGTTCTAGTGCAAAAGTTAAAAATATTTTTTAAACTTATACGTCAAGTATTTCCACATTAATTAAGGAGGATCAGGCGGTGGGGGAATAAAATATACATGAGACAAACGAGAAATGTATACAATATTTTCAATGGAAATTGCGAAGTGAAGAAAACACTTGGACAGCCCAGACGTAGAAGTGGATATAATACAGAAATTGGCTTCAAAAGAATAGATGTGGGTAGAATCACCTGGTTAAGAATAGATTCAATTGAACAAGTAATAAACTTTTGGGTGCCATAAAATTCGTGGCATATCTAGAGGAGTTGAACGACTGCTAGCTTCTCGATAACGATTATGCTAAATGAAGTTGGGTAATTAGGCACATTATCAGTACGATCTTGAAGTTAACCTGTAAGAAGAAGTCGCTGTATCTCGCTTTTTCTAATATTCTTTTTTTTTATTCCCAACTAAGCCACAGTCGACCATGCATTTTTATAACATTGATACGTGGTCGAAAACTGCCGAGAGAGAGTTAGGAGAATTTGGCAGCTAGACTAGTTGAAAATCTATTATTCATTGGACATAATAAAATTCAAATTACAATCCTGCTTCTTTCTTACTGGTGCCTGTCTTCACTTAGTCTTCGTCCTGAAGATGCAGGCAGTAGGTTTTTCCTTCTACCAGGCTAAATGAGTTGCATCGTGGGAGAAAATATTCTTCAAATTTTTGTGTTTCATTTAGCACATAAAAGTCATGTTGTTCTGTAGGCCGACTTTATAATGCTCATACATAACAACAGATTTAAGTACTTATTTGATACATACGTATTTGATTTCACGATACGAATTATTTTTATGATACGCCAGATAATTACTCTCACCTCATTAATTCGATGTCAGATATTTTAATTTAATTATAGCCCCTATGGTGGTTTCACTGGTGTTTGTCTAATTTAATCTATTATTACAGAGTTCCGTTGTTATTTTCAAGACCTCCCTCATTTAACGCGAATGATATATTGCCTGTAGTCATGTAACAACAATAATAATAATAATAATAATAATAATAATAATAATAAAGAGAAAGTGACGAGTGGCGTGAATGTTATGGAAATATGTTTTCATTTCAAAACCTAAATAAATTTGTGGTGAGATAAAATTATCAGCACCAAACTAGGCATAGACGACGATCTGCACTTAGTTTTTCGTAGTTTTCTTCAGTCTCTCCATACAAATTCCAGAATTCCATCACACCTTACCTCCACATTTTTTCCATTGTTATTCATCAATCATCATACAATCTGGATATTTAGAATGACGTAATTTTACTTCTTTTGTACAGTCAGATCCACGATAAACATGATTTATAGTCAATGGCTTCTCAAAGAAAGTTAACGCGGGACATACGCAGGTGTGTAATTTAAGTGTTAGGCATTTTGTAAAGAGAAATACAAAGAAGGGCATACAATTCTTTTAACAAATTTTACATTTAAATCGTAATATTCAGATTCGATAATAAATTACCTCTGTTTTCCAGTTGTCATGTGATACGGACTATACTTGTTTTCTTCGAGGGGCTGTTCTACCGCCATCACGTGAGGGGAGCTCAACGCTTTGCCAGCCTATGTAATCGGATGTACAGAATACTCTGACATCTTGCTCCCCCCCCCCCTTTGTGTGGGGACACCTTCCGAGTTCAATCAAACAGGGTAAGTCATTACTAATAAGATTGATTGATTCATTGATTTGCTTTACAAAGGATATTGATGTAATTACATTTCTATTCCGATGGTAACAAGTTAAAATTTCTGTTAATTTTACAACCACCTCAACTGAGATATGTCTTAGTTTTTCACAGCCTCCGAAGACAAATGTCCGATTAGTATTGTCACGTGTCCGGGATTCTGTTACGAATATAGCGGGTTCTGGGTTGCATGATTGGATTTATTGGTCATTCGATTGCAATTACAACCAATTATAACAACTAACAATCAATGACTTCCTAATACTCGCTCCATTCCTTATTGAACTACAAGTGTCTTCTCTTCTACTGCAGTGAATGACGAAGGAGAAATCATTCAGACTGAAATCTCCTGGACTGAACTAACTTCCAGCCAAAACGAATATGCATTACCATCTCAAACGTTTCCTCTGTTGTTCTCTCTTTCATCATCTCCTACGAAACATGTTTTTGGCGAGCCGTTGACTAATAATGAACTATTCCGGCTTTTAGTTGCCGCGGGAATATGTGTTACCGAACCGTTGCCTAGCAGTGATCATATTCGTCACAGTATTTTGAAATATAAAAGTGTGCTCTCCTGTCTCTCAATATTTAAGATCTTTCCATCTTTGTGGACTCCGTATAACCTCCGAAGTTAGGTCATTGCTGTACCGAGAAAGTTGATTAAATTTTAAAGCTTCTGACTCGAATTTGGGAGATGCTCGGTTAGATTCTCGGCCAGGACACCGCCAACCCTTATTAAGGCCTTCGTGGACCCTAAGTCTCTCCAAGCAAATAACAGGATGGGACCTCGACTGAACCAAGTTCTCCTACCACTTTCTTTGCATATTCATTTCTGGCTGTCATCCAAATGTCCGTTGCTGTATAGTCCGAATTACTGTCCACGGCTTTAAATAAACTACAAATAAATAAACATTTAAACAATGTCGAGAAATAAATTTTAATCTTACAAATTAAGATCATATTTCACTTCAGGAAAGTAAATGTTTTTGTGGAACGGCGAAGGAAATATAATTCAGCCACACCTAAGATGATAATTATATAATATTTTATTAATGACATACAAGTCTATAAGTTCATAGTAACACATACCACGTGGAGGCGTCGAACAAAGAAGAAGAAAAAGAAAGTAAAAATTAATATGCGTGGTATAGAGAAAATAAAATTGCACATAATAGCAGTGGCAGTACACGTAGCTGTTACATATTACATATATACATACATAATACTTTATATTAGGGTCAAGCGGTAGCGTAGTTGAGTGAGGCACTATGCTACAAGCTGGAAGGTCGCAGGTTCAAGTCCCGATCAGGTGTATTTTTTTTTCAATTGACCTAATCCTTCCAGCCGCACTATGACCCTGGGTTCAACTCAGCCTCCAACAGAAATGAGTACCAGGAATCTTCCTGGGGAGTAAAGCCTTATGCGCTGACAACCTTACCGCCATATGTGACCCGATTGTGTAGAGAAAATGTGGGTACCTCGACCCTATGGGCCTTCATGGCCGGTTACAGGGATAGCTTTCAATACTTCATATTAAAATTATGCTTATGTTTTGCAGTTGTATCCTATCAAGAAATTAATAAGCGCGTAATCAGTAGGGCAGGCGAAGGAAATGTTTCATGCCTGATACCAGTCTTACCGAGCGACTGTCATCAGACTGGGATTGTCTTGTAGAACGCAGTTAATAAGGAGACTAAACCTTCGAGAAATGTGGAAGCCAGAATCCGGATTGGTTGACTTGTACTAATGAAATTCGCGTTTTGCCTTGGGACAGGATCCATTTCCTTGTTTCCTGGATTCTCTGACTGACAAAGCCCTTCTGTAGACCATTTCTTTCCAAGTTACCAATTTCCAGCAGAAATCAGTTTTCCCTTCTACTCTCTTCGCTCCCTCATTTAACTGATGAAGATGGCGGCAAGAGGGGGTGGGGGAGGGGCTCTTCGTTAATTGAAAAATATGAAAGCTCCTTCATCTCGTTTCTCTTCGGCTCTCCTTGGAGAGTGTCAGTGTAAGAGTGGCACGTCTCGTGATCAGTACATCTGGGAACTTTCATGTCCATGTGCTGTTCTTGTCGCCAAAGTTCCAACTCTTTTCACGTAGCTCGATAAATAGCCTCGTTATCGACTGTCCTCGAGTGAAACTCAAAGAAGTACTTTACCGCCCACAGACCTGTCTCCGCCACTGGACGTATTATGCTGCATACGCATCTGTTCATTTTAACAAGGAGTTCGAGAAATTACAAATGTTGCTTCCTTTCCTGAAATATGTCCTTCTGAATAGAGGTTACGAAGCTTATAATTTAAAATATACAAGAGCATTGCCGGTGACGTGTCAAAGAGGAGTCTCCGAACTCGAGCATTAAATGTTAAATCTGGCATTCAATTCCTTACTGTAATACACACACCATGCTTACAAGGCAGATATTTGTATAGGTATATTTGAAAAAATATGTATTTTATAATGTGATCTATTGGTACTGTAAAATTATCCCTGTGCTTAATTAGTTAAGCACTATACAATGAAGACATATTGAGGGGTACAAGTACAGCTCCGTCCTTCTTGAGCTCGGCAGTACATGGAGGTGAGTGATCAGCTTCACTGATAAGTGCCTAAAATAAAACTCTCAGCGATTTAAAATTTGATAACCTTTTACCTTGTAACACAAAGTTATACATACATACAGGGTGATTCACGAAGTTTTACCCCCACTTAGGGAGGGCATTCCTGAGGTAATTTGGAACAAAAAATGTTAATATACTAATGGTATCCGACTAATAATTAAAGAGATACAGTAATTTGAAAACTGGCGAAAAATCTTTTTTTCTTCGATTTTCAGTCAAAACAAATTAGAAATACAATACAAACACTTTTTAAATCGTTAATGTTTTAGGAAAGAAGCATTCTAAAACCAAGTTTTATTTTCAATTTCTTAATTTTGCTTTGTGCAACATTTTTCATCTATTTTATGTTACAAAATTACATTATTTTCAGCATCCCATTCTGTAAACATACCAATGGTTGCATATCACAACCTTCTATCAATCTGTTTCCTTTAAACTGTAGTGCTTTAGAAGACGACTGGATTTACATAAGATTTTCAAAAATGTCTCCCTGCATGTCAACACAACGCGTCGCACGCGTATGAACCGCGCTCGTAGCATTTCGCAGTTCCACACGTTTGTTCCTTATTGTCATCGCCGCGTCCAGAATACGTTCAAGCAACGCTTCACGTGTTTGTACCTTTACCTGGTACACAATGTCCTTCATCCAGCCCCAAATGCAATAAAATGAACGGCCCGATTAGCTGATCATACAGAACACCACACCAGACATTGACACTGAATCGGTGTTGAAAATTCGATTCTATCGTGGCACGGGGATTATTGTCTGCCCAAACATGTAAGTTGTGACTATTGTTGACCCCGTCCCGTGTAAACTGTGCCTCATCGCAGAACATTATCAAGCGGTACAACTGCCGATTTCCATTTAACCAGTTGCAGAACTGCAGACGAAGAGCACGGTCTCCTGGTTGTAGGTGGTGTTGTACTTGTTGTAAATCAAGGATCTCCAAACTACGGCCCGCGATGTGATTTTATCCGGCCCGCGAAAGAATTGTGCTGAAATGCGCCAATTAAACTAATTTTCCAATGAGTACTGGTAAAAAAATACTTGTTCATAGATTTCAACTGATGTGTGATGCACACACACACACACAGATCCAGCAGTACAACGCATGCAGTAACAGGAGCAAAACACAACACAGAACACGATACACAAATATATGTAGGAGGAATGCTCACATAAAGAGGATTGGCGTAATTCGCGTGTTTGAGTGCGACGTAGGAAGAATCCTGAAAAGTTTTATTATTTAGAATTCATCATCCTATATGATGAATACAGATTTTAGTCATTTTAGAATGAAGACATTAAGGCATGCAGTACAATAGTTTAACGTGCATAAAGACACCTGAAGATGGCACATTAGTGCCGAAACATGTAGTGGGGAAGTGAAGAATAAGGTGAAAAAGTGTATACACTGTAAGAAGGTCAACATAAACCATGGACATGAATCAATGTAACAGGACGCTAAAATATAACATACCTAGAGTTATTAAGTTCTCATTTTATCCGGCCCGTTGAAAGTGCTGAATTACCTAATGTGGCCCGCGGTTCGAAAAATTTGGAGACCCCTGTTGTAAATGATAAGGATGTAGCCCGTTCTCATGAAGAGTCCTCCACGCCATGGACTGAGAAACACCGAACCGCCGAGCTAGACGTCTTGTACTGGCACGAGGAATGCGCTCTACAGCATCGAGAATGGTTTCTTCTTCGCACAATTCACGTTGAGGATTTCGTTCGTATTGTATACGAACGCTGGAGAGAGAACCAGTTTGTCTTAATGTGTTGAATGTACTGCTAATGGATTTAGGATTCGGAATCCTGCGATTAGGATAACGCCGGTGATATTCGGCAGCATCGGCTATTGCATTTCCATCACATACACCCAAAACAAACACCATATTGGCGTATTCCTCAGTGGAAAATGTGTACAGCATCTTAACTTCACAGTCACCAACACAACGTCCACTTCACTACTGGATCGCTTTCCCTAGGATGGCGCAACATTCCAGCCGGTCAGCTTATCTGCTGACACAGCTGACTGGATCGCAAGGTCGCCCAGGGGGGAAGTATAGCGCTGCATTCACATTGATACGTTTCGAAAATCTATTGTAACTCCGTAATTATTGAAAATCGACCAAAAGTTTATAAGGAAATTTTGCAGGAAATAACCCCAGGAATATGTACCATAAGCCGGGGTAAAACTTCGTGAATCATCCTGTATATACACTAACGAATTTCTAAATACATATATGCATAAATATTGTTGCATGCTGTATATCTATACACACACATACATACGTAATGCATGCACATATATGTAAGACTGAGTTGATCATCTCGAGC